TTATTGCTCTTAATAAATTTTAAACTGGTGACTCATTAAAGAAGAAAAGCCAGGGCTCATGATATAATTCACACTTCTAGGTTTCAGACTTGGCTCTGCTAAGGACTATCTGTAGGTTTAGGCAAATTTAACTTTGTTTTTAGTTCCTTATGTTTGTAACAAGAATAATGACACCTATCCAACTTCCTCACATGGTTGACATGAAAATAATGGCTTTGTAGGTGATAAAGAACTTCAGCATACATAGATAGAAAACTCCTTCTGTTTTTATTTGGGTCCAAACCCAGAAGGGATTAGGGCTTACTCCTGATTCTGTGCTCAGGGATCACTCCTGGCAGAATTTTGGGGACCATATGTAGTGCTGGGAAGAGAAACTAAGTCAACTGTGTTTAAGGCAAGCGCTTTACCCACTGTACTATCTCTGCATCTCCCAGAAACACTTTGTGTATTGATGGTAATGACATTTCCTCAGAGTACTAGAAACAAAAAATGTTATCTTAACAATTTTAAAGAAAGCCATTATGAATGGCATGTATTTTATAGAGATTATTAAATATATACTCCAGGGGGCGGGGCAAGAGTACAGCGGGTAAGGCACTCGCCTTGTGTGCGACTGATCCAGATTCAATCCACAGCATCACTTATTGTCCCCTGAGAACTGCCAGCAGTGAATCCCGAGTACAGAGCCAGGAGTAAGTCCGGGACATTTCTTTCTGGGTAGCACCGCAATGCACTGTCCTCCCGTTGTTCATCGATTTGCTCGAGCGGGCCCAGTAACGTCTCCATTGTGAGACTTGTTACTGTGTTTGGCATATCTAATATGTCACAGGTAGCTTGCCAGGCTCTGTTGCTCTGTGGGCAGGATACTCTCGTTAGCTTGCCGGGCTCTCCGAGAGGGGGAGAGGAATCGAACCTGGGTTGGCCGCTTGCAAGGCAAATGCCCTACCCACTATACTATCAATCCTAAAATTTTGTTCCAGTCTGTATTGGACAAATTCATTTTAATTCCTTTTAGTTATGTTTGCTTTACAATTCTATGGTAGTCTCAAGGAACCATTGTGGTCAGGGGCAGTTTTTGTCAACTGTTTTCCAACTGTGGCCCCCAGTTGACTTTTTTAAAATTTTGGTGACTCCTTCCTCTCCTTTCCTGTTGCTCCTTCCCCCACAAGTCTTCTCCCAAGGTTTCCCCCTACTGACACTATTTTCACTGTGACCCTCCTGGAATATCCTAGGTACCCACGAAGGGCCGTATGGTCCCCTAGTTGAGGAATGCTAATCTAGCTGGAGGAAAGGAGGTTTTGTCTCAGTCTGTGTTTGAATTGTAACTCTTCTTACTAAATTTTTTTGCTGAAAAAAAAATTTTTTTTTTTAACTTTAGTGAGATATGCCTACCTCAGTGACTAGTTGTATATTATTAGTGTTGAATAAAGTTACTCTTGGGACTGAGAGATAGTACAGAGATTAAGACACTTGCCTTGCATGCTGCTCACCCTGTTTTGCTTCCCAGTCCTTTCAGGGGTGATTCCTGAGCACAGCCCGGGGTAAGCCCTGAGCACTGCCAGATGTTGTCCAAAAATAGAAACATAAAGGATCTGTGGGGTCAGAGAAATAATACATAATACAGCAGGTAAGGTGCTTGCCTTGCCTGTGATTGACCCAGATTAGATCCCTGGCTCCTGAGCACTGCCAGGTATGGCCCAAAAACAAATAAGCAAGACATAAATTACTCAGTGCTGAGACTTCAAACACAGGTGCATTGTGTACCCTTAGTCTATTAATTTGCTATTTTTTTGTTCCATAGAGATCTTTCTTTCTGTTTGGCCACACCCAGTTCAGGGGTTATTCCTGGCTCTGTACCCAGGGATCACTGTTGGTGGGCTTGGAGGATTACATGGGATACTGGAGATCTAATGGGTCAGCTACATGTACTCATCCCCACCATAGAGATCTCAGAGGAAAAAATACTAAATGATGGGGCCAGAGCGATAGCACAGTGGGTAGGGTGTCTGCCTTCCATGCAGCTGACTAAGGTTCTATCCCCGGCATCCCATATGTTCCCCCAGCACCGCCAGGAGTAATTCTCGAGTGAAGATCCAGGAGTATCTCCTGAGCATTGCTGGGTGTGACCCAAAAAGCAAAAATTAAATAAATAAAATATTAAGTGAATAGGAACATCATGAGTTAATTGGGTTTTTTGTTTTGTTTTGTTTTTTTGCTTTTTGGGTTACACCCAGCAATGCACAGGGGTTATTCCTGGCTCTGCACTCAGGAATTACTCCTGGCAGTGCTCAGGGGACCATATGGGATGCTGGGAATCGAACTCAGGTTGGCCGCATGCAAGGCAAACACCCTACCCGCTGTGCTATTGCTCCAGCCCCCATGAGTTAATTGTTGACACAACTGATACATTAGTTGTATAGAAGTCTTTAGCTTCCTGTTATAGGGATTATAACATTATTAACTTACACCTGCTTCAGGCTTAGAGGATCTGTTACCATAGAGGAGGATAAAAAACTGCCTGTGTAGATCAAGTCAGTCGAACAACTTCAGTTAGGCCGACTTCGCTTTCATTAGGGAAATGGCTCTAGTTGCCCTAGGTAAAGTCTTGGTTGAGAGAACAGTTATTGCTCAGAAGGGAAGGGAAGATAGAAGAGAGGTTCCTAGTAAATTATTACTTTATCTTCTGTTAATTATTATATCTTTATCTTTATTTTAAAATCTGAATAGTATTCCAGTGGAAAATCTCACTTTTTCACTATATCTGCTTATCTAAAATATTCAAGCTAAGTATGTTATAAGAACTGTGAATTTTATATGAAGTCATAGAAAGCAGAAGAAAGGTCATTAGCAAAATGCCTCTCTATATAAGAGGCATATAATGTATGTTTTCATTCCATTTTCACAATATATTTTTGTGATAGATTGTTGGTGTTATCGTCATTTTATAGAGGAGGAAATTGGGACTCAGGTTGAGTAACTTTTATAGAGCCTCCTGGTCACAAGCAGTAGAGGTAGGATTGGGCATGAACTATTTTGCTGTTTGCATGTGAAGGGGGTGATGTCTGTATGTCTAAAATGTGAGATAGAAAATGTTAGATATTCACGTTTAAGTGTAAAACTCATATATTTTAAATGTGGCTAAGTACTGTTTTTAAGATAACCCAGTATTTGAACCCAACGTAATTTTGTTTTGCTGTACTTTGGGGTATCAAAGATAAGTATGCATTTTACTGATTTTGCAGATGAAAATATTGACATATAAATGTGTGGAGGACTCTATTAAGGTTATTTGAGATTACAGTGAGGGAATGGCAATGCTGGGGACTGTTTTCCAGAAGAGGTGGCCTTTGAGTGAGTGGATTTTGAACCCTGAGCGAGAATGTTTTTGGCAGAGAAAGACAGACCTTTTGAGATTGTAGCTGGTAGCAAAACTTGCACAGAAACCCAGGGAACAAATGGTATTTTGGAGCCAAAACCAGACTTTGAGTTTATAAAAGAGAGTAAAATTTTTAGACAGAGAGAAATGGAAGAATATAAGAGTAATCATTTTATGGAACATTCTGAAGGATTTTTCTAAAGAAGGTTTTTTCCTGTTTAAAATCACTTGAATAATGAAGGGCTTTCTCTTCGCATGTAGTTGTTTTAGTCTAAGCATTATAGTTAACATAATTATCCCATATTTTCAACTTCTTGTATTCCTCTCATTAAAAACCACCTAGTCAGGCTAGAGCCATAACTTCAAAGGACTAGGGCACTTGCTTTGCTTGTGGAATGCTGGGTTCGGTTCCTGGTACCACGACCATGTGGTCACCTGAGTACCATTTGGAGAAACACTCAAGATGCTCTAGGAGTCTTGTGGACACAGTTGGGTGTGGCTCCCCAAACAACAAACTGAAACAAACCCAAAATGCACTTGTTTGGCTTCATATAAAATGTAGAGTTTTCATGACATGCTTTGAATATTTTAGATAACTAGATGTAGTGGAAAAGTGAGTTGGACTAAAATACTGTTCAGATTTTGAAATAAAGATCTTCGTAAGACAATTCTTAAAAAAAAAAATGGGGGGGGGGGGTCGGCCACACCCCGCTGTGCTCAGGCCTTACTGCTGCTCTGTGTTCAGGGATTACTCCTGGTGGAATCGGGACTGAATGAGGTGCTAGGGATTGAACCTGGTTTAACCACATGCAAAGCAAGTCCTACAAGCTCTGCTATCTCTCCAGCCCCATTTCTTATTTATTTTTAAATGAATAACATGTTTATTTTAGGGTTTTTGTTTTGGGGGCCAAACTTGGCAGTGCTCAGGGGTTACTCCTGGCTCTGCTCTCAGAAAGTACTCCTGGCAGGCTTGGTGGACTGTATGGAATGCTGGGATTGAACCTCTCTGCCCCAATCCTAGGATTTTTAAGAAACAAAATACTGAAAAGGAAGTAAAGATTACCTCTGTTTAATAAGCAGAGATCAACTTTGGAGAGAAATATAATTACCATGTAAGTGACTAAAGTTTTATATTGGTGGAATTTTTAATAAAATAATGAAAATAAGGATTACCCCAAATCAATAAGCAAAGATAAGTTTTGGAGAGGGATATATTTACCATGTCAATAATTATTAAAGTTTTAATAGTCATTCACATTCCAAAGTTCTAGTTATCCACATGCTATATTTTTTTTAAATTTTTTTTTTATTGGTGAGACACCATAAGGTACAGTTATAGACTTACAAATTTTGTGCTTGGGTTTAAATTATACAATGATCAAATACCCATCCCTCCGCCAGTGCCCATTTCCCACCACCACGGATCCCAGTATCCCTCCCACCCCCCATCCCCCCTTCCCACCCTGCCTCTGTGGCAGGGCATTCCCTTTTGTTCTCTTTCTCTTTCCACATGCTATATTTTTAATACATTTTTTTAAAGAAGTTTTCCATCAAATATTTTAATTGCTGAAGAACCATGACACAGTTGCAAGTTTGATTTTGTTACTCATTTATTTTGGTTTGAGGGGATTCCTGCTGGTGCTCTGGGGGCTACAGCAGGAGTCACTCCTGTGCTCAGGGGGCCACGTGGTGCCGGGGATCAAACTGGCACATGCAAACATGTGCTTGAGCCCTTTGAGTTATATCCCTGAACCTAATTTATTAACTCCATCTAATTTTTGTTTCATATGTAAAGTAGCTGTTTCAACTGATTTATAAACACAAAATTTTAATCCTAGTCGATTAAATACTAAAAAGTAGCTTAATTGCTATTACTTTTTCTTACTGTTTTTCTTACTGTAATGTAGACTTTCCTCAGAATGCTGAAGCAAAAAAAAAAAGATGAACCTGAAAAGCCATCCATCAGTTCACATTGTTATCTTGCAAGTGGGGACATTTTCTTTTAAGCTTTTGCCTCCAGTAACTTGAATTTCCATTTTTAAAGCTCATTTGTTTGCAGTCTTCTTTCTTTCTGATCAGACTCTGTTTTTCCATCTCTCAACCAATGGTACAAAGAAAAAGGAAACTGAAGAAAGTACATAGCAGGTGCCAGAAAAGTAGAAGGAACCAGTATATGTCTGGGTATAATCATATAACCAACCTAGAAGGAAGGAATGATTTCTGTTAGTGAAGCAGATCTTTCCATTAGTAATTATCAGTCCTGAACTGCTCTTCAGGACTGATAGAAATCAGTTTTGTAACTCATTGGAAAGTTAGATAAGCCGCCTTCTCTTTTTTATTTTTGGTTGTTAAAATTTAACCAGTTCAACCAGAGGACAGAGTTAAATCTGTGGAGAAAAATTCACTGTGGACCCAGAACTCTTATAACAGAATTTGTAACTTCTTACAATGGACTGGAGCAATAGCACAGTGGGTAGGGCGTTTGCCTTGCACTCAGCCGACCCAGGTTCGATTCCTCTGTCCCTCTCAGAGAGCCCAGCAAGCTACCAAGAGTATCCCACCTGCACAGCAGAGCCTGGCAAGCTCCCCATGGTGCTTCCCATTCAATATGCCAAAAACAGTAACAAGTCTCACAGTGGAGACGTTACTTACTGGTGCCCGCTCAAGCAAATTGATAAACAGTGGGACAACAGTGCTACAGTGAGTGCTACAGTGGAACTTGGAGAAATTTTGGAACATACGACTTTTCATAATTAAGTGTGTTAGAAACCCACTATCATATTTTAGTCCGGGGACTGTTCTGATAGTGCTTGGGAGTTATTCTCACTGTGGTGCTTGGTAGTCACATGTGACAGGATTTGAACCCAGGGCCAACTACATGCAAAGTTTGTGCTTCTGGAGCTATCTCCCCAGCCTCCAAGGGCCAGTGTTATGAGGAAAATAATTATGAATTGCTATGTACAGCAAGTTAGTTCCAAGAACTAACTTTTGCAACTTAATAACAAAACATCCTGTAATGTAGGCTAATTGATATGGAAAAGATTCAAGTTCTACAATATATTTCTGGTAAGAAAAACATGACAAACTCCTACGATTAAACCATCTATTCATCTCTTTGTTTTTGAAACCAGATAAGATGCCCTTCTATCGAAAGCACACACAAACACAATCATCTCTATACCTCCTCCTTCCTTCCTCTCCCTTTCTCCCCTCTTCCCTTTCTCTCCTCTTCTCCTGAAAGTGCTGATTCTCTGCTTTTCTTCATTGACCAGAGTACTTGATGTTTTCAGTAATGTGCTAGGTGTTGAGGATACAGTAATGAGCCACGATAGGGGAAAGAGTACAGTGGGTAGGGCATGTGCCTTGCACATGGCTGACCTGGGTTTGATCATTGGCATTCCATATGGTACCCCAACACTACCAGGAGTAATTCCTGAGTGCAGAACCAGAAGTAACCTCACCATCTTGGGGTAAAAGTAAAGTAAAGTAAAGGCCCTCCCGTTGATCGTCGATTTGCTCGAGCGGGCCCAGTAACGTCTCCATTGGAGACTTTGTTGTTACTGTGTCTGGCACATCGAATACTCTCGGTAGCTTGGCGGGCTCTCCGAGAGGGGCGGAGGAATCGAACTCGGGTCGGCCATGTTGGCTGCGTGCAAGGCAGACACCCTACCCGCTGTGCTATAGCTCCAGCAATCTTGGGGTGTGGCACCAAAAAAAAAAAAAAAAAAAAGAAGAACCAAGGCAAACATGGTTCCAGACCTCACAGTTTTAGTGGAGAGGTCTCATTGTTTGAATCACATATGTGAAAAGGACTAAGAGGTGACAGATCAGGGGCGGCTAAGAGCATTTGCAGGAATAGGCTGCTTCATCGAATAGGTTAAATGATGACCTGCAGTCCCCTTGAAGCCAGGATGTGTTTTTAAAAACAAGAAAGAAGAGTTCTCAAAATCATTAAAGATTCTGACCGTAGAACTTAAGCTCTGATGATACTAGAACTTAAGAAAAGCTTTTTTTCCCCACTGAGCGGGGAGGCAGAGTATTTGTGGAAGCTACTGACTCCCCTTCCCGCCCCTCCCCCCAACATTTTATTTTGTTTTAGGGCCACACCTGGTACTCAGGACTTACTCCTGGCTCTAAGCTCAGGGATCATCACTCCTGTTGGACTCAGGAACCAGATGGATTGCCAGGGATTGATCCCAGGCCAGCTAGGTACAGGGCAAGGTGCTGGGAGACCATATGGGGTGCTGGGGATCAAACCCAGGTCTGCTGCGTGCAAGGCAAACATCCTACCTGCTGTACTGTCACTCCAGCCACCCCCATTTTTTTTTTTTTGCACACCCAGTAATGCTCAGGGCTTACCCTTTGTGCTCAGGAGTCACTTCTGATGGTGTGCAATAAGGGGTACTGGGGATCAAACTCTATTAGGGCTAACGCTATTTGATATACTATCGCTCCCGCCCTACTTTTTTCTTTTTTTTCCCTTTTTGGCCACACACAGTGGTTCTCAAGACTTACTCGACTCTGCTTAGGGTCACTCCTGGCAGGGCTTTGGCGACTAGATGTGGCGCCTGGGATCAAACCTGCATTGGCTCCTTGGAAAGCAAGCACCCTACCCCGTGTGCTGTCACTTTGACCTCAAGTTACTGATGTTTTAATCAATTGTTGTGGAAGTCAACCCTGTGAAAAAGACATCTTAGTGTTTTTTAGGGTTTTTCTTTTTTCTTTTTTGGGGGGAGGGGGAGTGGATGTGGAGAATGTTTCCCGGCAGCACTTTGGAGCCACTCTAGTCATTTTCAGTGGTTGACTCTGAGAGCCTGATAATTGTGCACTTGGTTACTTGGGTCTGATGGTGCTGAGGACCGCCAGGGCCACACCCCAACAGTGGTTGGGAGCCAGTAGAGATATGCCCATTGGTGCTTGGGCAATGACGTGATGCTTGGGGATCTACGTGGAGATTGAACCTTGCTCCTTAAAATTTAATATCCTAGAAATACTTTAGAAGTTCAGACTGTCACTCTAATCATTTACTCAGAAAATGTAGGTGCTGTGTGCCATACTAGCTCTGTAGTCTGGTGGGTACACCCATAATAAAATAGATGAAAATACATGTCCTTAGGGAGCTAGTGTTAGGTTTTATATATATATATATATATATGAGAAAATGATTTCTAATTGATCTGATTATTTGTGCATTTGTCTTCTAATTTCCTTGTTCTCTTTATGGCTCTTATACAGACTTCAAGGTTTTTGTTTGCTTTATGTTTCTTGGTCTTAATGTAATGAGTGAATAGAAAACAATGTAACCTCTTAAAAGTCAGCAACTTTAAGTTGCTTTTTTGCTTGTTGACTGCTCATCATATGTGTAGCCTCATGGAAGTTCAGACTCTTCTTGTGCTTCTGCTCTTTTGCAACCTCGGGTATTCCCCAGAAGTGGTATTGCTGGGTCATATGCATATGGAAGCTCAATTTCTTTTTTTTTTGCCTTTTGGGTCAGACCCAGCATCCAATAATACTCGGGTTACTTCTGGCTCTGCACTCAGGAATTACTCCTGGAATTGCTTGGGGGACCATATGAGATGCCAGGAATTGAACCCGGGTTGGCTGCGTGCAAGGCAAATGCCCTACCCACTGAAATACTACTCCAGCCCCTCAATTTCTAGTTTTTTAAGGAATACTCATATTTTCCAGAAATGCTGGACCAGTTGGCATTCCCACCAACAATGAAAGAGAGTCCCTTTCTCCCCACATCTGCGCCAGCACTGGTTGTTCTTATTCTTTTTGATGTGTGCTAGTTTCTGTGGTGTGAGATGATATCTCATTATTGTTTTGATTTGCATTTCCCTGATGATTAGCAATGTAGAGCTAATGTGCCTTTTGGCCATTTGCATTTCTTTTTTGAGGAAGCTTCTGTTCATTTCTTCTCCCCATTTTTTGATAGGGTTGAAGGTTTTTTTTTTCTTGTACAATTCTACTAGAGTCTTGTATATCCTGGATATTAACCCCTTATCAGATGGGTATTCAGCAAATATTCTTTTCCATTCCGTGGGTTCTCTGTATTTTGGTCACTGTTTCCTTTGAGGTGCAGAAGCTTCTTTGTTTAATGCAGTCTCACTTGTTTGTTTCCACTTGCTTGGTCATTGGTGTTTCATCCTTAAAGATGCTTTTACCTTCGGTATCATGGGGGGGTTCTGCCTACATTCTCCTCCATGTACCTTATTGATTCAGGTCTGATATTGATCTGACTTTTGTGCCTGGTGTTAGACAGAGGTCAGAGTTCTTTTTTTTTTTTTTTTTTTTGCAAAAATGTGAAGGGGCTATGATCAAATACACTATTCTCTTTCCTTCTTCAAATGCATTTTATTTTCTTTTGTTGTTTAGGTTTTTCATTCTCTTGTTTTGGGGCTACATCCAGAAATGCTTGGGGCATGTAAGAAATATTAGGAGAGAGAAAATTCCATAAAGTAAAAGAAGAGAAAATACGTACCCTAAGCTAGGATAAAGTAAAGAAAGGTTAGAAGTTAGAAGATTGGAAGTTAGAAGTTAAAGGTTAGAGGTTAGAAGTTAGAAGTGGCATGCCCAGAGAAGGTTATAGGCAACTTCCAATGGGGTATTGTTATAAAGGAAAGATAATGGACACAGCGTTGTAATATGGCCAGCCTCTGGGGTAGAGTATACCCATAAATGCACTTTTTCTTGGTGGGAGTCAGGCCTTATTCTTGGCTCTGGGCTCAGGGATCACTCCTGGCAGAGCTTGCAGTACCATATAATGGTATCAAAGATTGAACTGGGGTTGGCTGTGAGCAGGACAATCGCCTTCCCCACTGTACTGTTACTGTGACACCACAAATGCACTTTCAACCCTAGAACAGTTTAGTGCTTCTCAGTGTAGGGCCATGCATAGGACACCAGAACCACGCCAGGTAGCATTCAGGGGTTTGTGCATTGTCAGGGATTGAGCTCAGGGCTATAGACAAACTAAATATGTGCTCTATCACTTGAGCTATCACTCCAGTCCCTTAGCTGCATTCAGTTTACCTAAGATTGTTAGTTGCACAGATGCATCGACTTCCCTCAAGCATCAGCAGTTCATTCTCCTGGCATACAGATGATTCTTGCTCTTTTTATCTTTTGGTTTTGGGTCTATGTCCAGAAGTGCTTAGAGCTTATTTCTGGTTCTTCATTTAGGGATCACGCCTGGTG